TGGACATTAAACCACCAACACGCAGACGTAGAGTGAGGACTGAAGAAAATATTGCGGCTGTATCCGCCAGTGTTGGTGATGACCGTGAAATGTCGATTCGCCGCCGTTCGCAGCAATTGGGCCTCTGTTACTCCACTACGTGGAAAATTTTGCGACAGGATTTTGGTGCAAAACCTTATAAGATACAGCTGGTGCAAGAATTGAAGCCACACGACCTCCTACAACGTTACCAGTTTGGTGAATGGGCGCTGGCAAAGTTGGAGGAAGATCCACATTTTTATCGAAAAATTGTGTTCAGCGACGAAGCTCATTTCTGGTTGAATGGGTACGTTAACAAGCAAAATTGCCGCATTTGGAGCGAAGACCAGCCAGAAGCATTGCAAGAGCTACCAATCCATCCCGACAAAATCACTGTTTGCTGTGGATTATGGGCCGGGGGCATCAGCGGGCCGTACTTCTTCAAAGACGACAATGGCCGGAACGTAACTGTGAATGGCGAGCGCTACCGTGCGATGATAACAAACTTTTTTTTGCCCAAAATGGAAGAGCTGGACCTGGCTGACATCTGGTTTCAACAAGACGGTGCCACATGCCACACCGCACACGAAACAATGGCCCTATTGAGAGGCGAGTTTGGTGAACAGTTTATCTCACGTTTGGGGCCTGTCAATTGGCCGCTTAGATCGTGTGATTTAACGCCGTTGGACTATTTCTTGTGGGGCCATGTTAAGGCTAATGTCTACAGGGATAATCCAGCAACGATTGACGCACTGGAAGCCAATATTGAAGCATTTATTCGTGAGATACCGGCCGATATGTTGGAGAGAGTGTGCCAAAATTGGACCTTGCGCATGGGCCATCTAAAGCGGAGCCGCGGCCAACATTTACATGAAATAATCTTTAAACATTAAATTATATCGACCGTTCTATCGACTCAAATAAAGATTTAATCGTTTTTTCCAAATTTTTTGTGTTTTTTTTTTGAAAATCAAATCCTATACCTCTTAAAAAATCACCCGTTACATGTGTTCAGCTGAGCGTGGTATACCCTCACACAATACTTCTCGTGTGGAAAGTAAAAGTAGGTTACATATTTCCTTCAACGAACCACCTTGTGTTGACCGCATTCTTCAGATCGTTCAAGTGACCATCCAATAAAAATTCTTCAGGACCCCCGAACGCCATATCGCATATAAGAAATTACACATCCAGCGCATCAAGAGGATACGTCGGCGAGGCAGTAAACAATATTCTTAAAAGTTGGAAGCTGTCCTACGGGAGCGACTGACGAAATTGCTTTCGACTACCTCTTTCGCAGCCTCCAAGAAAAAGGCGCAGGCAGCCTTACGCTCGCTATCGGAGACTGATGACTTACCGTATCCATTTCCGTAATCATACCGGGGGGATATACGCAGAAATGGGGTCAGGGTAGATCGCGGATGAATGGGATAGAGAGAAACTTTATTTGGAGAATTGTTGTAAAAGGAATATATTGAACATACAGGAGGTTATGATTTTTTTAAGATAACCAACCAACAACGAGTAACGAGTCCACGAGCTCCTTCCCACTTCAGTTGGCCCACTTCAAGATTTGTACCAAAATATGCATTTATGACGAAACTAGTTACTTCTAAAATAATTTATTTTCTCAAAAACATATTAGATACACTCTAGTCGTAAAGAATACATATTTGAAATCACTTAGACCTATAACTAGTAGAAAATCTGAACAAATAAACAATGTGCGAATAAATGGGCGAAGTTAACAAAGCAACAATTGAAAGATTACCATTGGGTAACATCACATCATTTATTTTTTATTACGGCTAATTCTTTGGGGCATAGTGTTAACCAAGTTTTGGCAAAAATTTGGTATAAAACAATCACATATTTCTTGAAGCTTTTGTCTCAGTTCGGTGATAGTACGAGCAGGATGTTGTCGTAGAACCTTTTTCATCTCGTGCCACAAATTTGACAGATCTGGACTGCTAGAAACCATTTCAAAAGTGGTACATTATTTTCTTGCATCCATTTTATAGCCTTCTTGGGGTATGGCACACTGCACCATCTTGCTGAAACACAAAATCTTGACCGGATGTCAAACATTCTTCCATCACTGGTAAAAGCGATTCTTCTAAAATTGCCAAATATTTGTTTCTATCAACATTTTTATCAGTAAAATGAAGTTTTCCTACTCCTTTTGATGACATACTGCCCCAGACCATAATGGATGCTGGAAATTTCACTTTTCTCTTCAGAAAGTCAACATGGAATGCTTATTTTTTTTGCGAATAACTCTACTGCGACTGTCACCAACACAAACTTCGAATCGGGCCTCATCACTCCATTGTATTGCACACCATTGTTGGGGTGTCCATTGTCTATGTTCTTTAGCCCATCTAAGCCGATTTTTCTTTTGCAGTGGGGTTAATAGTGGATTTTCTTTGGCCTAGAAACAAGATGTGCAACTTTAGGGCTTTTACTCCACGTTTTTTATAAAAAAACTTACTTGTGGACCTCGAAATTCTCCTTCAAACAGCATCACTCCACAGAGCACTTAACTGTAAATAATTGGGACGCCTGTTTTTCACGATTATTCTTCTTAATGCTCTTCGGTCGTCATTTGTGATATTACTTTTTTCACATATCATGGCTTAATATTAACTGAACCAGTTACGTTATATCTTCAAACAATATTTCTCACACTGTACCGCGATAAGTCTAACAAAGTTGCAATTTATGAGTTTGATTTCCCAGAATTAAAAAATTTAATTATCAGTAACCGAATTTTCTCATTAATAACCTTTCCTCTATCCATTTTGAAAATCCTAACTACCCAAAACTATTTTAAACGTATTCTGACAGCTGTGATTAATAAAAACAATTGTCATGGCTTTTATTTTTCATAGCCACCTATGCGTTATAGACTTATTTTGCATTGAAATGAAAATAGGTTGATATGCTGTAATTGCAACATGTGTTATTTTTATGCTGCAAATTTCATTAGGGAAAGATAAAATTGGTGTTTTCTACTATATATTATCAAAATATTCATTGTTAATATTTTAAATCTATAACTCCCTGCTACATTTTTATTATTTGTGTTTGATAAGAAAAAAACTAGGATTTCAATAGTTGGGCCAACTGAAGTGGGAAGTGGCTCGTATTACTGTACTGTACACATTATTAACATTAAGGTGGTATATCTCAACTATTTTGCGAAATTTCGAGTAAAAATTTTAATCACTTTCTATTTAACAGTAGGCCTAAAACTTGTAAAAATATGCTCAAAATTACAGCGCTCCTGTAGGTGTTGTATTTTGTATGTCACTCAGTATATCTTTCATGCTTTTTGTCTTTCTAAAGTAACACAAAAAAATGAACAAATAGCTATGGTCTTCATCAAGTTAATAGGCATAGTTTTGCTGATTATTGTTTTACGTTTAAACTAAGTTAGTTTAGGTTTCCACGAGACAACATGTTTTTTAACCATTTGTTCGATAATAAAATGCTATAAACAAATTGGAAACATGAAAATATTATAGTGCATCTTACCGAGTTTATAAACAGTTTTTCAGTTGTTTGGTATTGCAAACTACCAAAACAAGATAAGTGCGTGTGTAAAGTTGGTGCTTGATAAAGCTGTCAGACGCAATTGACATGAGCTATACAGGTAAAACAAGACAACAGTCATGCCTCTGGAACAACCCCTGATTTCGACTCACACCGGCAAAACAAAGAACCGACATGTGGTTCTTATACTGATTCTAAGATTCTCACAACAGCACTAAAACAAATCTATTAAAATGAAAAAAGTACCTTGTTTGTTTTCGCTGTAAAGAAACTTGCAGTGTAGTCTATAGTTTTAATGCTGTTGTTGCCTGCTGTCTGAACAGCCTCATGCGGCATAGATTTTATTTTCAGAAGATGCCTTAAATACTTGTCAAACCTTGAACTAGTAGTAGCACAACTTGATTAACTTTATTCTGTCTAAAAATGAATATATTGATAGGTGCTGCAAGGCACCTAGCGCAGCATTTCCGGTGAATTATAGGTATTACGAGGGATCTCTTTTAAGTTTTACATATAGAAACATAGTAGGCCGCGCGGATCGAACGCCAGTACTGAATCTTAACCTCACTCTTTAGTAAACTTAAATTCAAAGTTTCACAACAATACGTGCAGTGTTCTCACTACAGTGAATTTTTAAGTGTCACCAAGTCATTCGAAAAATGGAACTCAACCGAGAATATTTTCGCGCCATAATTTATTACAACTTTCAGAGACAATTATCGCAACAGGAATGTCTTGCTGTGTTACTGTCTGTTTTCGACAACGAAGTGCCGCATCAGTCGACAATTACCGTTGATATGGAGAATTCAAACGTGGACGGGTGAGTCTTAGCGACGATCCCAGGGTGGGTCCACCAAAAACGGCAGTCACCCAGGAAAACGTCAATGCTGTGCGCAAACTCATCATTGAAGATAGGCATGTGACATATCGCGAGATTGAGGCGTCCTTGAAGATCTCAAAGACCTCAATTTGAAAAAAATTACATAAAGAATTAGGAGTAAGAAAATTAGTTTCTCGTTGGATACCCCACCTGTTGACTGAAAGCAGAAAGCAGCCAGGGTTAATTGGTGTCAAAAAACGCTTGACCGTTGCAATTCCGGAAACTCAAAAAATGTGTACAGCATTGCTAGTGGTGATGAATCGTGGATTTACTGTTATGACCAGAAAATAAACGACAGTCGGCTGTTTGGGTGTTCCAAGGTGAACAAAAGCCAACAAACGTCATCCATTCTCGAAGTGTTTCGAAAAAGATGGTCGCGACATTTGTGCCAAAAGCGGGTCATATTGCAAGAATTCCTCTTAATGAGCAAAGAACTGTTACTGCGGATTGGTATACCACCATCTGTTTGCCAAAGGTCATCACCGATCTTCGAAAAATCAACCCCGAAAGAAGAATCATACTCCACCAAGACAATGCAAGCTCGTACACAGCCCAAAAAACAAGGCAGTATTTAACGGAAGAAAACATGGAATTATTGAACCATCCTCCATATAGTCCCGATCTAAGTCCTAACGATTTCTTTACTTTCCCGAAAATTAAAAACAGACTGCGTGGTCAAAGTTTCAGTCACCAGAAGAAGCAGTTGACGCATTCAAAAATGCCGTTTTAGATCTGCCAGCGAACGAGTGGAATAAGTGCTTCGAAAATTGTTTCGAGCGCATTCAGATGTGTATTAATCTTCGTGGAGAATACTTCGTAAGCCAATAAAGTCATTTAAAACTATATACCGTGTTGTTTTATTTCCATATGCAAAACTTAAAAGACATTCCTCGTACATGCATTACCTAACAAGTTTCTGATAACAATATAGGATCTTACCATCCAGTCTCCGATAGACGTCCTGGCCTGATAAAAACGATCCCGCAGCTACCCTTTCGCCCTTACAATGCCACTGCTAAGGCTACCATGATTTATAGGGTGCTGCCGAATCCACCACCATAGGCGCTACCCCGTCAGTGGAACCCCATCAGATTTATGTTTCCAATAAAATTCGTCTTCATTTACGTCTTTCTGAGCTGTTTCGGCATCGGACGGATTCAACCGGATACTCCGATAATTTAGTGGACCTGTCGCATGCCGGACACTGATAAAATCTTAAGCAAATCAGAAATGGCATCTTTACGCTCACATCTCGAGGGTCGGTCATTTCTTGTGCCGTTTTCGTCGTATTTTGAGATTTTTGTTAGTATTTTGGGGCACATTCGACTGATAACGGATATAGCAGGGTTTGAGGCTACGGCTGTCGCGGATGCGAAAATTTTGTTCTGCCCATTTGCTCCAACACCAAAACCTGTTTGACCGAGTAAGAGTATGCATGACGTCGTCAGAATCATTTGAGCATTTTTTCGTACGAACCATTTTTTTATTCTTTCTACTGATGGAACAAGCAAGTTGATGTCACCCTCACTAAACAGCCAAAGCACTGCTATGTTATTTTTCACCTCTGTGAGTGTTGAAATTCTCAAGCTTTACTACTTTCTGTATATCCGTTCAGCCCTTAGCTACTGCGTAGTTTGGCGACGGAACTGCTCTCGCATTGGTAAAGTGTTTATAATTCAGATTTCTTTTGAGAACAATAGCTTCTAAGCATTGTCGCTACTCATGTAGAGAGCTCTTTAAACAGTTGAATACAGTGACAGTTAACTCTCTTTATATCTATATATGCCTTATTTATCTTAAAAAAATTGAGTCAGAAGATGTACTTATAGCCCCACACATACTGTCCTTAACTTCAAAATGTTATGACTGTAAAGATTTGCAACAAGTTGCCAACTTGTATAAAATCTATAACAAATGTCTCTCTTTTTTTAGACCAAAGTAGCATTGAGGAATCAATTGTGTATTTGACTGAAGTTCACTTTTGAATTCATGATCGTTCGTCTCAGGTTGTGTTGTGGGTCAAAAAACCATTGGCGTACCATTTTTTTCTTAAGAAATACAGGGTGTTTCAGTTTATTGTTGCATAACTTTAAGATTCGATAGAAATTTTAAAATTAATGCATAAAGTCTATATAAACATGGGTCAAAAAATGCGTGGCTTCCGAAATACAGAGTGTTTAAATTTACTTTCTAAAATAGTATTTTTTAAATATTTCGAACAATATTTGATGTATAACAGTGAAAATTGGTATGCAAGAGTTTTTTGGTACGACAAAACGAACCATGGGCATAGTTTTACTGTAGCCGCTAGAGGGCGCTCTCTACTGTACCTGTAGTGTATTAAAATGACCGAAAAAAATTTCTTAGTGCAATGTTTTGCTTTTTGAATAAAAAACTGATTCTTCGCACTTATCAACATAAAAAAGCTCTCTTGTGAATTTTCGTTATAGTTTCGATTTTAAGGTTTGATGCATTTTTAATTATTTATGATAAAATAACGTTAAAAAGTCAGTATCTCGATAATGTTTAGAAGTAGGCTGTGCCTGCAAATATTTTTAAAATTGAAAGCAGAATAAGGGTTAAACGTCAATTAGTTGACACTTAGTTTTGTTGTCTGTTGATACCTGAAACGTTTTTTTGCAATTGCAAATTTAGTTTCTTTTACCTGGTATCTACCGTAATCGACTATTTGGACCCTACCTTTTGCCTGCAAGGTTAAATGCTGCGACCTTCTTGGAATTTTTAAAGGTTGAACATGCAAATATGTGGTATGATGATTTGTTAGATTTAACAAGATTGGCCTGGTTCCAGCTTGATGGATGTCCAGCTCATTATTCAAGAATCGTTAGAAACTGGCTGGACGAAAATTATCCAGAAAGATGGATCGGCCGTGGAGGACCAGTCGCCTGGCCTCCACGATCCCCTGACCTAAATCCATTAGATTTCTTTGTGTGGGGATTTCTAAAAGAAAAAGTGTACCAGACTCCCGTAACCACAAGAGATATGCTAATAGACATAATCAGGAATGCATGTGATGAAATAAGGCCTTATTTGAATAATGCTATACCACGTTCGATCATTCGTAGATGTGAATTGTGTATTGAACAGTTGAGTTTACATTTCGAGCAACTACTTTAGATTTTGTATGTTTGTCCTAACTATCCAGAGCATTTTAGTTGTAAATAATTAATTTAATTTGTTAAAAATAATATTGGAAAATTAAACAAATTAATATTCTGTTTTTTTGTGTTTATTTGGAGTTAGGAATTATTGCTGTGTTTAAAAACACAATCTAAACGAGCATTTTAATTACTTGTAATGCCCAAATCGAAAATGTAAAAAAAATATTATTTTCCCATAAATAATTAAAAATGCATTGAACCTTAGAAATCGAAATATCTCAAAAACGGCTAACTATAACGAAAACTTACAGGAGAGCTTTTTTATGCAGAAAAGTGCGAAGAATCAGTTTTTTTATTCAAAAAGCAAAAAACTCCACTAAGAAAAATTTTTCGGTCGTTTCAATACACTACAGGTACAGTAGAGAGCGCCCTCTAGCGGCTGCAGTAAAACTATGTCCATGGTTCGTTTTGTCGTGCCAAAAAACCCTTGTATACCAATTTTCACTGTTATACATCAAATATTGTTCGAAATATTTAAAAATAACTATTTTAAAAAGTAAATTTAAATACCCTGTATTTCGGAAGCCACGCATTTTTCGACCCATGTTTATATAGACTGTATGCATTAATTTTAAAAGTTCTATCGAATCTTAAAGTTTTGCAACAATAAACTGAAACACCCTGTATAGAAGTCAATACCCGTTTTGGATCATAGTTTGTAAAGCAAACTGACATTAATTTTTCTTGTAGATTCACACGCGTAAATATTCGCATATCATTAAGGAACATCCTGTATATAGAAAATATACCTGAAATGGATAATTCCAGTACTACTAATTGTGTAGTCATCCGGAAATAAAGTTATTATTATTATTACTATTATTATCATGCTTTTGTTACTCAAATAAATTGATAACTAATGAAGAACAATGTAATGTGGGATAGGAGGTGAAGGAGGCAAGCATTGTCAACCTCGCCTTTGTCATCTTCACTAGAAAATAAAGTATTAAGATGCTCTGTTTTCCCCATTTAACAACAGTATCATCAGTAAAGGACTGTAAAGAAAATAAAAGTCGTCGACTACGTTAATACTTGCTGCGCGCAGAAACGTACTGACTATTAAAATGTCAGACAATGCGTACAGTGTAACCGCCTTGTTCTGACGAGGATCTAGCTGGCAACACTGCGTGTGATCAAATAAGACCGGCAGGAGGTTAGACGCCATCAGTCGTTCTGTGGTCGCCATGTTTTGGGATGCGTCACCTATCTTTCTCTAATTCATTTGCCTTATCTGTCTTCTCTTGATACAGCTACACTTTGCTCATTGTCCGTAAATGGATTTGATTGATTTTGCTGCATATTGCCACTAATGACAATACTTTCAGCTGATTTTAATCCAACCTGTGTAGCAATATCGGTAAATTAGTCAAATGGATCTGAATATGTTGATGGAAATCCGATGGTGTGTTTCTGGCGTCGAATTATTTCATTTTGTTCGAAATGGATTATTTTTTGATTACCATGAAAGCAATTCGTGCGGGGTAATGTAGTGAATGTTTACTGCTACCTGTTATTATATTTGAAAATCTCTTCATGATTTGATTAAATTACCCTGGACGGATTTAGATGTAACGCCATGCTATTTAAATGTAGTATACAAAATCGAAAGCTTTTCGAAAATACTACTTCTATAAAAGAAAGAAATAATAATTCGTTTACCTGAAGACAGCTTATCGTATATTGTATTCCGGCATCTAAAGAGGACTCTGAAATATGCTAGCGCCATATGTTAGAGAGTATTAAAGGTCGCGGTATCATCACAAACTTGATCAGATGTGTCGACGATTGGAATAATATCAACAATTCTATTATATATATTTATTATACCTGGATTTTGTGGAAGCGATCGATCAGTACCTCACGCACACCTTGTCTACAAGCTGGAAAACCTAGGAATAATTGGAGAAATGTTAAAGTGGCTAAAGACTTTGCTTAGTAACATAGAGGCCACGGTGAGGCTAGGCGACTTTTTGTCAATCAGTAGGGAGATGACTGGCAGCATCTACAGGGTTCCATCTTGGGGCCTATGCTATTTCTTTTATACACAACGGATGCCAACCACCTGCGACGCCAGAACTAAAAACTAATAAATGAGAAATTCCTAACTGCACCTCGTCAATGTTCCCTCTTTAATCTCTTTGATAGTTGGAATAGACTGCCCAATGACATTGTTAACGCGTCTCCCTTTAACAGGTTCAAGAACCATTTCCATTAACCCTGTCAAACTAATTGTTGGTACTTCAAGAGATGTAGGAAAGAAGTCATCGTTAAGCCATAATGTACGTGACTAATTTACATAACTATGACAAAGCATTAAAAATATTGCAAAAAAGATACGCATATGTCATCAAGTCCTTTGGAATTATGCATCAAAGGGGGAAAGTTGTATTTAATATTATGTAAAACCCGTCTGTTGGATATTAAAATGAAACTTTGCCGGTTGCTTTTGTATAATTCATTAATGGTCATATTTCCGGACTACGTTTTGAATTTGAAATAGGAGAAAGAATACAGGATCCACATCAGATCCATTAGGAGTAGAATACAATTATTCCACTGGTTGCATCATGAGAATAAATAATACTGATTATATATACGTATGTATCTCCATACTCATCTTCTT